GAGTACAATGGCACGATCTTGGCTCACTGCAACCTCTGCCTCCCAGGTTCAAGCAATTCTTCTGCCTCAAGCTCCTGAGTAGCTGGGATTACAAGCATGCACCACCACGCCGGGCCAATTTTTTGTATTTTTAGTCGAGACAGGGTTTCACCATGTTGGCCAGGCTGGTCTCGAACTCCTGACCTCAAGTGATCCTCCCACCTCGGCCTCCCAAAGTGTTGGGAACTTGTTGAGATTTTCGTGTAGTATCAAAAAGGCTGTTCTTCCCTTTTCTAATAACATGGCTGTGTTAGGCTGGATTATCTTCATATAATTTAACCATAACAATATATTGCAGCAGATTGAATTGAAAAGTAGATAGGAGAAACTGTCTTTTGTATTAAGTCAAATATTAATGAGATTTGCAAAAACATGAAAGAATGCCTCAGTTTTCACTAAAGCTTTTTGCTTAAATGCAATTACTTTTTATAAGAATATGCATATTGTTATGTAATGGGCTTATTACTATTTTTAAATCAATAAATATTTTGAAAGTTTTCAAAAATTTGGATTTCTTGGGATGTTCAGTAGTTTTTATTTTTATTTTTTGCAATAAGCTTTATTTCCATTTTGTCCAAAGCTTGGGAAGGGGGTCCAGGGTAGTGGCTGGAGGTGCCGCTTAGGCAGAAGCCCTGAACTTTTAGAGAGGCTCCTAAAAGGTTGCTGGGCTCTGTAGGCTCCTAGTGGTGATTGAGGGTGAGTCTTTTGGAAGAAACACTTACCCAGCCCAGCCTGGGGAGGTTGATCTGGTAGTCGCCGATCTTCTTGTTGAGTTTCACCTCCTCATCTAGAAGTAGCTCTCCAGAAGTCACGGAGATGGGGGTCTGTGCAGGCAGAACCCAGGGCCTAAAGATCGAGGGTCTGGTTCATGTTCTTCCCCAGGGCCATGGTGACTTCCATGGCACCCAGGGTTTTTACCCCCACTCATTTTGAGATGGCTTCTCCACATCCTGGAAATGGGGGCCAATGCCACACACACATCTTCAAGAGACACTCTGTACCCTGAAGCTTCTCGGTAGGCCGATTCATGGAAGAAGTCACCTGTGCCTCCCAGAGCCACATCATTATGGTTTAAATAGAAGCCCAGAGAGAGATGGGTGTAAGAAGCCCATAGATGCAAATTGACCAGGTGGTTGATGGCGGCCGCTACCTTGATGGGATAATTCTGATGAATCCAAGAGCTTGCGGTTGGTCAGCATGGGGCTACCCCAAACCCAGTGGTGAGTGGATCCCAGAAGCCAGAGGAATGGCCGGTCCCAGAAGCAGGAGATGGGCCCAAGAAGAAGGTCCTGGGAGGTTGCAAATGAGAGCGGGCTTGAGAGCGGGGGTGAGGCTGAAACAGATGGTTTTGCTGAGTGGGCTTGTCCCACTTGTTGCAGGTGACTGTGTGTTATGTGTAACCTTTGTGTTGTGTGTGTAGTGTAGATATCAGGGATTGTGTGTTTTAGTTTTTTGTAAGGGTCGTTGGTTCGCTAATGTTTTGTTGTGTGTTTGTGTGTTGTGTAGTTAATGTATGTGTTGTATTGCTGGTGTGTGTGTTTTATAATGAGTGAGGTAGTGAACCACAAAAGGTGCAGTAGATTTGTGTGGGCGGTTGTTCATTTGCATGTGCTGCAGTTCTCTTTTTTGTGTGGTGCTTATCGTTCCATGTGCCAGGGACATCTGGGGCTTTGTGGCTGCCTATACCATCAAGGGTGATGCAACGGTCTCGGAGTTGTTGATTAAAAAAAAATGAAAAATAGAGCAGGTGAGGTGTGATACTTAGTTTCTAGTGGAGGATTCTGATTCGCTCAGTGGATCCGTATAGTGGATGTGGCACTTCCACCATGTGGTACTTCTTGTCTTTCATCGTCAGTTCATATTCGACAGTTTTCGTCAGATGCATCAAGCTTTCTTCTAATGGGTGTGTTGCTATCTACCTCTTTATATTTGGACTAAAAATACTTTTAGCAGTTTATTGTATTTGTAACTCTTGGGCATATAGTAGGTTAATGCCATTTGCATGACTCAGATTCCTACTCTGCTGAAAAGACTTTGTTGTATTCCTTTGCTACAGAATCTGATATTTAAAAGTTACTATAATCAATTTAATAATTACTTGTTGGAAAGGGATTTTAAAATAAGCTGTTTAGATAGGTTTCTTATTTATATCTTGGTTTTCATGTTATTAGCCTATTATTTAGTTACTCTTCCCTGTATATAACTTAAAAGGAACAAATGTTCATGTCTCTTAAGATGGCCCCAATATCATTTTTATGTCTCATTTCTGTTAGTTTAATAGTAATTATCTACATCCTATTTTTATGGAAATACGTGACATATAAGTAGTTCTAGTCAGCCGGGTATTGGGGAGTTTGTTTCGTTATCATGGCACATTGGGTTTTTTTTAGCTAAATATGACAATAAATTAGCTTATTAAAATAAAAATGGGGTTGGGGGGTGAGTGTGGTGTCTATAATTCCAGCACTTTGGGAGGCTGAGGTGGGGATCCCTTTGAGCCCAGGGTTTTGAGAACAGATTGGGCAACATAGCAAGACCTCATCTCCAAAATAAAATAAAAATGGAACAGGAATGTTTTTTCTGGAATTATCAAGGACTTAACAGTGCAGCCATGGTATGGAAATGATATCCAACCACTGGAGAACTCTAGAGTAACAGACCTTCTGGAAGAACCGGAAGGTTGAGCTGCAGGCACAAGTTACTGAATGGGCTATGGCTGAAAGTTTCTGAAATGATACATTCTGGCTAGACCTGCTTGTAGGCAAGAAAGCGTTTGGAAAGTATTTAGAACTTTTGGCAGCTTGTTTTGCTCACAGCTAGTTAGAAAATAGAAAGGGACAAGTTGGAAGGGAAATAGTGGTAACACTGACTGCTTGCTTGTTTTTCTTAAAGAAGTGCTCGTGATTAAAATAACTTGGCTGATTTGATTCCTCTACATACCTCCTAAAGATACAGACAGACAATTAGGGAAATCTGGGCATAGCATACACCTGAATATTAAGAAATTGCTAATTATTATATGTTGTGATATATTTGATTGTGTCCAAATCCCTTATCTTTGGAACCTCCTAAAACAGCTTCTTCCATTTCCTGTATAAACCTATGAGAGCAAACCATCTTTTAGCTTCTTTTTTCCACATGCCATTCTCCTAATGAAGAAATGAAGATGACTTGTATGATGACGTCATCCCACATGCAAGCATTTCCCCATCACCACCCCTCCCTTTCAGCCTGCCACCTCTGCATGCTTTCATTTTTACTTGGAAAGTCCTCTTTTTTTTTCCTGCTGCTAGGCCTGTTATTTCCTTCTGTGTCTCCTCTTGAAGCCTGCCTCATTTTGGTACCTCCCCTTCACATTTTTGTACTGTGTCTTCTGAAGTGTCTTATGTTGATTAATACGGGCATCAGCCTGTTCTGGTGTTTTGGTGCAGATGCTGCCTCGCCAGCTGGAGGCTTGTAAGATTCTTGAGGACTGGACCACCACATTTCTCCTTCTTTCTCTTCTTCTTCTTCTTCATCATCTTCTCCTCCTCCTTGTCTTCCTCCTCCCTTTCTCCTCTTCCTTCCTCCTCCCTTTCTCTCCTTCTTCCTTGTCTTCTTTTTTTCTTCCTTTGTCACATTTACTACCACCTTTGCCCAAACAAGATTATTCGTGAGAAAATGGTTGGATTAAAAGAAGAAAGTACTGGACCCAGGTGCCCTAAAGGAAATAATAGCTTTCCAAAATGTATTTTTAACAATTTCAAACATAGTGGGTATGGCTATCAGATCCATGAGAGAAAAACAAGGGCATGTGCCTCCTCTTGGGCCATCTTCTTTGACACTGTTTTGTTTGTTGCCTTGTTTATAGACAGGGTCATGCTCTGTTGCCCGGTCTGGAGTGCCGTGGTGCGAACATGGCGCACTGCAGCCTCGACCTCCCAGCTCTAGCGATCCTCCTAACTGGGTCTACGGGTGTGCACCACCATGCCCAGCTAATTTTTAATTTTCTTATAGAGATGGGGTCACTTTGTGTTGCCTAGGCTGGTTTTAAACTTCTGGGCTCGAGCGATCCTCTCGCCTTGGCCTCCCAAAGTGCTAGGATTACAGGTGTGGACCACTGTGCCTGTCCCTGTTTGCTGCTTTATCCCAACACCTAGGACAATTCCTGGCTTATAATAGGTACTTAAATATTTGTTGGTTGGATGGATGGATGGATGGGTGGGTGGGTAGGTGGATGGATGGATGGATGGATGGCTCAGTCTGTGTCCTAGGATAAGTTTTCTCATTTGTATTTTATAAGGCTTATGGTAGGGCACCCTGAAATGTTTTGAAAGGAAGAAATGTGTGACTGGAATTGTACTACAGGAAAGTCCATCTCTCTGAGGCATGAAAGAATGACGGTATAGGGGCTGGGTGCGGTGGCTCGCGCCTGTAATCCCTGCACTTTGGGAAGCTGAGGCAGGTGGATCCCTTGAGGGTCAGGAGTTCGAGACCAGCCTGGCCAAACATGACAAAACCCCAAATTATTAAAATTACAAAATTTACTGGAATTTACTGCTAAAATTACAAAAATTAGCCGGACATGGTGGTAGGCACGTGAAATCCCAGCTACTTAGGAGACTGAGGCAGGAGAATCAGTGGAACCCAAGAGGCGGAGGTGTCAGTGAGCCAAGATCATGCCTTTGCACTCCAGCCTTGGCGACAAGAGCGAGACTCTGTCTCAAAAAAAGAACGATGATATAGGAAGGTTCTCATGAAAGGTAGCTGCAGTTCTTAGGATTTTAGAAGGAAAAGGTTTTAGAGGTGTGTGTGTGATGGTGGGTGGTGTATGTATACAGAACATTAGAAGTAGTGGGGACGTTAATTCTTCCTCATTTTTTCCTCATTTATTTGAAGAGAATTACTTTTTTTGAAAAATGTGTGAATGTTTATGTCAAAACTATATTGTGCTAATTTAATCTGCTCTATTTCTGTTCCAGGAGGCTGAACAGTACCCAGGGTGAGATTCGTGTTGGTCCTAGTCATCAGGTGAGGTTCATTTTCATAGCTTCCTTAATAGATTTTTGTTTCTTACTATTCTGCTGGCACTTTATTCTGTTGAGCAGCATCTTAGAATGTTGTTAAGTGCTATAGGGAATTTTATATAAATACGGAGGTTTTGTTTTTTTTCCCTCAGATCACCACATTTCAAAAATTGTGATGAAATACATACATGAAGTAAAATTTACCATCTCCCATTTTTAAGTGCACAGTTCAGTAATTAAGCACATTAATACTGTTGTGTAGCCATCACCGTCATCTATCTCCATATCTCTCTTCATTTTCTAAAACTGAAACTCTGTACCCAGAAACAGTAACTCCATTTTCCTTCTGCAGCATTGGCAATCACCATTCTCCTTCCTCTCTTTGTCTTTGACTGTTCTACCTCATAAAATACCTCATGTGAGTGGAATCATACCGTATTTTGTCTTTTTGTGCCTGATTTATTTCACGCAGCATAATGTCCTCACTGTTCATCCATGTTAATAGCATGTGTCAGAATTTCCGTCCTTTTTAAGTTTGAATGACCCATTGTATGTATGTATCACAGTTTGTTTATCCATTCATCCATGGATGAACACTTGATCACATATTTTTATTTAAAACATTTTAAAGCCAGACGCGATGGCTCATGCCTGTAGTCCCAGCACTTTGGGAGGTTGAGGCGGGCAGATCACTTTAGGTCAGGAGTTCGAGACCAGCCTGGCCAACATAGCAAATCCCATTTCTACTAAAAATACAAAAATTAGCTGGGCATGGTGGCAGGTGCCTGTAATCTCAGCTTCTTGGGAGGCTGTGGCAGGAAAATCATTTGAACCCGGGAAGCGGACGTTATAGTGAGCCGAGATCGTGGCCACTGGACTCCAGCCTGGGCAACAGAGCAAGACTTCGTCTCAAAAAAAAAAAAAAAGATAAAAGATGTTTAAAATCTCTTTTCCTGGCTGGGTGTAGTGACTCTGGCCTGTAATCCCAGTACTTTGGGAGGCTGAGGCAGGTGGATCACCTGAGATCAGGAGTTTGAGACCAGCCTGGCCAACATGGCAAAACTCCATCCCTACTAAGAATAGAAAACTTAGCTGGGCATGGTGGTGTGCGCCTGTAATCCCAGCTACTCAGGAGGCTGAGGCAGGAGAAATCACTTGAACCCAAGGGGCAGAGGTTGCAGTGAGCCAAGATTGTGACACTACGCTCCAGCCTGGGCGACAGACTGAGACTGTCTCCATAAAAATAAACAATCTCTTGTTCTTCAACAGAGTCAAGATGGTTAGGACACTTTTCAGTCAGAGAGTTGCTGTGTCACCACTGTTGCCCTTTCTTATTTCGTCGCATTTACTACAGCTTTTTGGGTTTTGTTGTTGTTTTTACTTTTTTTAGAGACAGGGTCTCACTCTGTTGCCAAGGCTAGAGCACAGAGGCATGATCACCGCTCACTGCAGCCTTGACCTCTTCCTGGGCTGAAACAATCCAACCTGTCTCAGCCTCTGAGTAGCTGGGACTAAAGGCATGTGCCACTGGGCCCGGCTCATTCTCTTTGGATCTCAGTGTCAGTTAGGATGCTTTCACTGGCAGTACTCTGGCTCTGTTTCTGTCTGCCATGTCACGGCATCCTGATCAGGCAGGACTGGGGCTCTGCTGTGCTTCTCTGAGACTCTCTTGTACCCAGGTGGCCTCCATGGAGGTGGCGTCATCCTCAGCTCAATGCGACTAATTCTAAGATACACTTTTTTCCTTCACATTTGCTCTCTGTAGTTGGACTTCATTGTATATTCTGTGGTGTGGTTATAATTTATTGGCTACATTTTATCCTTTCTCAATGCACATAAAATAACAGTGGATCTTACAGTGAATGAAGTTCAGCAAGTGTTGAGAGGAAGAAAGAATTGGAGTTCTTTTGCCCTTAGGAGCAAGGAAAATTTCCCCAGCATGTCCCCAGTAGATCCACATATTGTTGCCATGGATTGGGTCATGTGTCTATTTCTAAACCATGAGGAAGGAGTTGAGGATGATTAGCACTTGAGTTGGAATGGATGCTGGGGAGTACACAGCTAAGGCCGTCATGTCTAAAGACATGGGATACAGGCAGCAGTGAGCCTTGGAAAGAAATTAAGAAGTGAAGGAGTTAAGAAGTGAAGTGAACACAAAAACGATCAGGGTCACATAGTTTATAGAAGATACTTCTCATCCCAAACCTGGGGTTATAACTAATACAGATGGAAAGAAGCTGCAGGAGGACAATGTCTGCTTGTGCAAGTAGAGTCTTTTGTTGGTGTGTTCCATTAGGTGGGCCTGACTGCCGCCTTGGGGCTGTATTTTCCATCTGGGAACCTGGTACTCACCTAATGGCACTCAGTTCCGTCTCCTATTCCCTACTTTCTCTTGCACTGTATTTTACTACCCATTTTTTCCCTCTCACTGTGTGTTTCCAGTGTCTGGAGATCTTTGTACCAGACTTTTCTTTTATAGATTTTTTTTTTCCTACCATGAAAGAAAATGTAGCTCCTAAGGAAAAGATGCTTACATTCTTGGAAAAGGAGCAAATTTACTGTGATTGGAGTTTTGTATACTACCATTTAAAATCAGATGTTTGGTTTTTTACATCAGATTTTAAATGTATTCTGTGTGCTTCATTTTCGAAAAGAAATGTCTTGGAACACCAAAAATAATAGAACTTTTAAAAAGGAATTGGCAACATTTACCTTTTTAAAGTTTTTCACTTTTGGCTCACGCCTGTAATCCCAACACTTTGGGAGGCCAAGGTGGGCAGATCATTTCAGCTCAGGAATTCGAGACCAGCCTGGGCAACATGGCAAAACCCCATCTCTACAAAAAATACAAAAATTAAGTGGGCATGGTGATGCATGTCTGTAGTCCCAGCCACGCAGGAGACTGAGGTGGGAGGATTGCTTGAGCCTAGGCGGTTGAGGCAGCACTGAGCCAACCATTGCACTCCAGCCTGGTGACAGAACCAGACAGTCTTAAAAAAAAAAAAAAAAAAAAAAAAAAAATCAACCTTTTTATTAGGGGAAATTAACCTTTTTATTATACTAACATATACAAAAGCAGGGAAAGAATAATACAATGAAGTCCTTCTCTTCATTACTCAGCTTCCACAGGTATCAAATCCTCGTCAAACCCATTTCATTTATTCACCCTCACAGCTCTTCCTGCTGTTATTTTAAATATCTCACAATACATCATTTTCCTTGTAGATGTTCCAAAGATAAGGGATTTGGACACAATCAAATATATCACAACATATAATAATTAGCAATTTCTTAATATTCAGGTGTATGCTATGCCCAGATTTCCCTAATTGTCCGTCTGTATCTTTCTCTGTTTCTTTATATTTTCATAGTTCAAATTAGAATCTAAATGAGAGCCATTCATTACAGTTGGTTGATACATCTCTGGCTGGATCTCAGCTCACTGCAAGCTCTGCCTCCCGGGTTTACGCCGTTCTCCTGCCTCAGCCTCCGGAGTAGCTGGGACTACAGGCGCCCGCCACCTCGCCCGGCTAGTTTTTTGTATTTCTAGTAGAGACAGGGTTTCACTGAGTTAGCCAGGATGGTCTCGATCTCCTGACCTCGTGATCCACCCGTCTCAGCCTCCCAAAGTGCTGTGATTACAAGCTTGAGCCACCGCGCCCGGCCGATACATCTCTTAAATCTCTCTTAATTCACAGGTCCTTCCCCCAGTCCCCCAGTGCATGTGGTAAAGAAGCTGTTTCATCCCGTAGGGTATTCTATAGTCTAGATTTGGCTGATTGTATTAAATTTGTTACCTTGTTCTTTGCATGACTTGAGAATTAGTAGTTAAATCTAGAGGTTCGGCCGCATTCTAATTTGGTACCCTGCCTTCCGGAAAAATGCTTCCTGGGTGGTGGTATGTACTTCTGCCAGGAGGCTCATATGTCCCTTTTTTAATTGTAATTAGCAGCCACTGATCATTTCTTTCTTTCTTTCTTTTTTTTTTTTTGAGACAGAGTCTTGCTCTGTTGCCCAGGCTGGGGTGCAATGGCACAATCTCGTCTCACTACAACCTCCGCCTCCCAGGTTCAAGCCATTCTCCTGCCTCAGCCTCCTGAGTAGCTGGGATTACAGGCGCCCGTTATCACGCCTGGCTAATTTTTTGTATTTTTAGTGGAGATGGGATTTCACTATGTTGGCCAGGCTGATCTCGAACTCCTGACCTCATGAAACACCCGCCTCAGCTTCCCAAAGTGCTGGGATTACACCCGCCTCAGCTTCCCAAAGTGCTGGGATTACAGGCGTGAGCCACCATCCCTAGCCGCCACTGATTGTTTCTTAGATCCATTATTTTATTAGGGATTTCAAAACAGTGATATTCTAATTCTACCATCCATTTAGTCATTGTACAAATAAAATGAAACTTCACCTTTATCTTTCAATGACTACCAGTGGATTTAAGATTTTTTTTAATCTATAATGAACTGATTAACGTTCCTGCTGTATGTGTCCTTTTCACTTAATCCCAGTAGTTTTTGTCCTTTTCATTTAATCCTTTTTCTCTGGTAAGACATGATTTTACCGCCTCACCTTATACATTGTATTCCCTAGATCTGGAATTAAACTTGTCTCAGAAGAGCCCTCTTTTGTTGTAGTGGGAAGTGGTATTTATATACTGGGTGCTGAGGTATTCATTCTTACTGGGTTGGTTGCTATTTCGAGGCCTTTTCTGTAGACAGAATAGGAAATAGGTGTTTTATTTTCCTACTTTCTTAAAGGTAAAATGCATTATAAATTTATACTGATATATCCAATTCAAATTCATATTTTTATATGGCCTTTATACTAATTCTGTCCTTCTTTTATCTATGTCTTTATCATTTTCCCGTGACTCAAATCCTATTTTTTAATGACACCAACAAAATTGCTTATTTGCTTCAATTCCATAATATACATATAAAAGCCCAGAATAACAATAATCACACTGCTACAAACAATATGCTTATTGAAAACAGTTTAGTATTGCATTTTGTTTTGTATATCCTGCCAGGGCTGTATAAGCAAATTAATATATCTTAGAGTTACTTGAAACAGTTCCTAGAGTAGAACCAGCTCAATTGTTGCATTTCTTTCCATTTGGTTTACAGTTTTAATGAGATTATTATTATTTAAGCTTCTTGTTTTCATTCCCTCTGCTCCTTCTTAGATAAATAATAACATAATATACATCCTTTTGCCACCTTTCTTTTAACAAGATATTCTTGTGTTCTCCTCGTAGCAGTATATAGAGCTCCTTCTCATTCCCTTCTGTAATACTGTTTCATAGAACTCCATGTATGAATGTAGCAGTTTATTCATCTAATCCCTATTAATAGGCATATGAGTTGATTGTCCAGTCATTTGCCATTACATGTAATGCTGCAGTGAATAGCCTGTGCATATGGATTTTGATGTTTTTGCCAGTGTATCTTGGGGCTATATCCCTAGAAGGGGGATGGCTGACTTAGAGGACAAGTGCATATATAATTTTGAGGGTGTTGCCACATTCCCCTCCATGGAGATTGTATTGGTTTGTGTTGATACTAGCAACTAATATGAGTGCTAATTTTTTTCATGGCTTTATGTATTGTCAAACATTTGGAGTTATGTCAGTATAACAGATGCAAAATTGAATATGTGCCACTAATTTGCATTTCTGTTGTCAGTGAGGTTGACTCATCAGTTCTTATGATTAAGAGGCATTTTTGTTTCTTTTTCTGTAAACGGTCAATGTAGTCCATTTTTCTCGAGGATGGAGAGGGAGCTTGGTCCTGCTCACGGTAATAGTACTTTTTGAGTAATTTAATGGACATTAGAGAACTGCTGTGCCCAGTACTGTACTTGGTGCTGGGGAAGCAGAGCTCAGTAGTAGTGTCAAAGACCTTTTGATTCCAACATTTGTTGTATTATTATTATTATTATTATTATTATTTTGAGACAGAGTCTTGCTCTGTCAGCCAGGCTGGAGTGCAGTGGTGCAATCTCAGCTCACTGGAACCTCCACCTCCCAGGTTTCAGGTTTCAAGCGATTCTCCTACCTCAGCCTCCCAAGTAGCTGGCACTATAGGTGTGCGCCATCATGCCTGGCTAATTTTCGTATTTTTAATAGAGACGGGGTATCACCGTGTTGGTCGGCTGGTGTGGAACTCCTTACCTCAGGTGACTCGCCCGCCTCAGCCTCCCAAAGTGCTGGGATTACAGACGTGAGCCACCGCGCCAGGCCCATTGTGTTTTAATTTTATCCTACCATTTTCACTATATATTAAGCAGAACTAATTGTGACACTCAGTTTGATGTTATAGAAGTCAATACTTAACCAAAGAAGAACATCCTTGCTTGGAGAAAGTCAGCTTGATACACATGTAGAGGCATGGAAGACAGCCTGTAAAGCTGTGTGGGTGCTCATGGCTAGCCTGAGAGCCACATGGCCTGTTGATGTGATGTTTTGCTATGCAGTTGCCTCAAAAACTTGAATAACCGACATTTAAAACCACAAGCTTTTACATAAAAGTGAAGATTTCTGGAATTTGGAAAAAGATGGAGGATGTACACACACTGGTTCCCATTCCTGTGTGACAGCATTCCCTGGATGGGGCAGTTCTATCTCCATTTCACCGTGGTCCACTTCACTCTTGAGTACTTAACACCTGCATGTCCAGGTGGGGAGTCACTGCCACACATAGCTGTTCAGCACTTGGAAGTCCAGATTGGGATATGGCATTTTGTTTAACGTGACTACTAGAATATTTAAAATTAAATATGTAATTCTTACTTTATTTCTATTGGATGTTGTTGGCTTATCTTCAACCTGCTGCATTCACTTACATTTTTTGCCCAGGCTTTGTGTACCATGGAGCTTTATCAGACTGATGTGCCCATGTTCATCATTTGACAGGATGAGAACATGAGTATCTTGCAAATGTCTGACTTTTCACAGGTCTCTGCTGTTTATGGTGGTCATGGCACCTGCTTGCTCTTGCTCTGTCCCAGCAGAGTATGGTTGAGAAAATGCCACGGGTATTTGAATCTGATGACTTAGAGTCTTTTTGGGGAGCACTGTTGCTCAAATATTTTTAAAAATTCTTTTTATCGAGGTATACTCTATGTACAGCGAATTGTTTGAATCTTATGTGTGCTTTTCAGTCTGCCCTGATGATTCGTATCAAGACACAGAACATTTCTGTCATCCCAGAAAGGTCCTTCCTGTTCCTTCACAAGCAATTCCTTTTTCTGTAAAGAAGTCACTGCCCTGATTTCTGTCACCACAGGTCAATTCAACTACACTCACATACCCCCCCACACCTAATTTTATTTATTTTTTTTTTTACTTTTAAGAGGGAGTCTTGCTCTGTCACCTAGGCTGGAGTGCAGTGGCACAATCTTGGCTCATTGCAAGCACTGCCTCCCAGGTTCAAGCGATTATCCTGCCTCAGCCTCCCAAGTAGCTGGGACTACAGGCGCGTACCACCACACCTGACTAATTTTTGTGTTATTAGTAGAAATGGGGTTTTATCATGTTGGCCAGGCTGGTTTTGAACTCCTGACCTCAGGTGATCCACCCTCCTCAGCCTCCCAAAGTGCTGGGATTATAGGCATGAGCCACTGTGCCCAGCCTCAACTGTATATATGTATATATATATATATATATATTTTTTTTTTTAATTTAATTTAATTTTACTTTATTTTATTTTTGAGATGGAATTTCACTCTCTTTCTCCCAGGCTGGAGTGCAACGGTGCGATCTCAGCTCACTGCAACCTCCACCTCCCGGGTTTAAGCAGTTCTCTACCTCAGCCTCCCAAGTAGCTTGGATTACAGGCACCTGCCACCATGCTTGGCTACTTTTTGTATTTTTAGTAGAGACAGGGTTTCAGCATCTTGGCCAGGCTGGTCTTGAACTCCTGACCTTGTGATCCACCCACTTCAGCCTCCCAAAGTGCTGGGATTACAGGCCTGACCCACCGGGCCTGGCCAACTTTAATACTCATCATTTTTTGGTATTGACCATGATTTATATTGCTCTTGAGTGTCTTAAGAGTAACACTTTTCTGATAGGATAGCTCACTTAATTTTTTAGCAAATATCCTTAGGTGAGATATCATTATTTGCATATGTCTTTTTTGTCAGCTTGTTATATTGGAAATGTACGTGCATTTCCCTTCTTTATCAATAGCTGTTACCGTGTAAAGACATTATTTTGTGTTTTTTAATTTATTTTATGCATATGTGTCTGCTTCTGTTTTACTCTTGGTATCATGTTGGCACTGGTTTGCTCTGACACTGTTAAGCAGATATTAAACAGTCTATTGTGAAATCTATGGTGAAATGATCCTGACATGTGAAATAGGTCAGTTTAAATGACTCATGGTTTTGTTGTTATTTTTCTGCCATCCAAGGAAAGAGGCTTAGTAAAACATTGTATCTGTTCCTAAAGACTGTTTATTGAGACAGCTCTTTATGATTAATACATGCTTCTTGATTGTGACTTACTCATCCCTGTCTTACAGGCCAAACTTCCAGATCTGCAACCATTTCCTTCTCCAGATGGCGATACAGTGACCCAACATGAGGAACTGGTCTGGATGCCTGGAGTTAACGACTGTGACCTCCTTATGTACTTGAGGGCAGCAAGGTAATAGGAATCTACCCGCATCCTGCTTTCTGAATTAGACCATCTGAACTGTATAGGCAGTAAACTTTGCCTTTCCCCTGAGATTTTATTTCTATATTGGGCATTCTCTGACTTTAAGTTTGGTTACACCCTCTGTAATCAGGACCCTGGTTCTTCTTACCAGAGAATAATTTTTTTCATGATGAAGTAATGTTTTTCTTCTTGATGTTTGCCCCACATCAAATTTTGGAACTTTTCAAGATGAAAACAGCTTAGGCCATACATAGAGTTATCAAAACCTCTCAATCCAGTTGAGTACTTGAGTCATTCAGCTCATCTTAAAACCCCACTACAGGGGGGTGGGGATGAGGGGAGGGAGAGCATTAGGACAAATAGCTAATGCATTCAGGGCTTACAACCTAGATGACGGGTTGATAGGTGCAGCAGCACACCATGGCACACGTATAGCTATATAACAAGCTGACACGTTCTGCCCTTGCATCCTGGACCTTCAAGTAAAATGTAAAACAAAAACAAAACCCACTACAGATTTCATGTTCTCTCTGTACTTTGTGGCTGTTCATTAGTGCCTGTCCTGAAGTTGACATTTTTGTGTCTTGCCTACATGAGAACATTTACCTGTGATCACCTCGTAGAAGTTGCATAGAACATACAAATGCCTCAGATGCAGAGACAAGTGTGAATTTGCTCCTCACACATCACAGAGCAGGCAGGCAGACTTTATATGTAGTGATTCTGGTCTTGGCAGCATCAATAGCATGCAATGACAACAAAAACACGAAAGCAAGGATTAGGGCATCCGAATTCTAGCCCTGGCTGGGTTTGTGGATTTCTTTTTTTTTTTCTTTTCTTTTTTTTTTTCGGTTGTTACTTGCTTTGTTTTTTTGAAACAGGGTCTTGCTCTGTCACCCAGGCTGGAGTACAGTGGCACAATTATAGCTCACAACAGCCTTAACCTCCTGAGCTCAAGTGATCCTCCTGCCTCAGCCTCCTGAGTAGCTGGGATTATAGACACATGCCACCATACCTGGCTATTTTTAATTTTCTGTTGTTGTTGTTGTTGAGATGGGGGTCCTTGCTGTGTTGCCCCAGTTACCTGGCTGTTTTCTAGTCAATGGTGTCGTGCATGGTGGCATTCAGTAGAGATGAGAATGTGTAAGTGGAGTGAATGACTAAGAGGTTTTATCTCTGGTTTTTCACCTTTTTTTTTTTTTTTTGAAGACAGGATCACGCTGGAGTGCAGTGGTGTAATCACAACTCCTTACAGCCTTAACCTCCTGGGCTCAAGTGATCCTCCCACCTCGTCCTCCCCAGTAGCTAGGACTACAGGCATGCACCACCATACCTGGCTAATGTATTTTTTAAAGTTTTTGTAGAGATGGGGTCTCTCTGTTGTGAGGGCTGATTTTGAACTCTCTGACCTCAAGCAGTCCTTCCATGTCAGGTTCCCAGAGTGCTGGGATTACAAGCATGAGCCATCACACCCAGCCATGATTTTTTACTTTTAATTCACTTAAAGGTAGTTGATATGCTGAATGAGAGGAATTAAGTAAAATTTTAGATGACTTAATTTCACATGTTTTCTGGAGACTTTTCTTTCAGAAGATTGTCATCTACTGAAATATTGTGGCTCATAGATTTAGATTCTTCATGCTCTCAAATCTAAAATCTTAGTACTGATAAAGCATGAGAAGAAACAATACAAATGGATCTGACTAAAAGTAACATATGTATTTCTCTGTGAGTGAAGAGGAACTTAAATTTATTTTTGGTCTGGGTGTGATGGCTCACGCCTGTAATCCCAGCACTTTGAGAGGCCGAGGCGAGCGGATCACCTGAGGTCAGGAGTTCGAGACCAGCCTGACCAACACTGTGAAACCTTGTCTCTACTAAAAATACAAAAAGTAGTTGGGCATGGTGGCGTGCCTGTAATCTCAGCTACTCGGGAAGCTGAGGCGGGAGAATCCCTTGAACCCTGGAGGTAGAGGTTGCAGTGAGCCGAGATTGCGCCACTGCACTCCAGCCTGGGCAACAAAGTGAGATTCCATCTCAAAAAAAAAAAAAAATTATTTTTAAACACGAGCAGAGGCAGGGCTGGGAACTGGTTCATCATGCATGTAGTAATGGAATTTGTTCTGGGCCGGAAATGTCCCCTGAAAATTGAAGGTCTAAGTCTCTGTCCTTATATTGCTATGTACTAATGAAGGAAAAACCTTTTCTTCTGAAGGAGCATGGCGGCATTTGCAGGGATGTGTGATGGAGGCTCTACAGAAGACGGCTGTGTCGCAGCCTCTCGGGATGACACCACTCTGAATGCGCTGAACACAGTAAGTCTTTTGAAGTCATCCTGAGTGGGAAGACACTTCTTTTTCCCCTGAACTGGCTGTAGGGAATGTATGGTGAGTGCAGAGCGTGAAGTCGCCTGCAGACTCAGGAGTGAGTTGTGGTCTTGGCTGTTGGGTGCCTTGGGGGCTCCAGGCCTGTGATGTGGCACCTCCAGGTTAATTTCCTAATCTGTGTCTGTGCTACAGGTTCGAGGTGATTCTCAAATGAGATCCTAATAATAGTACCTGATACTTCACTGCGGCTTCACAAAGCCAAGTACTGTGCATAGAAGATCTTGCTTAATCCTCACAACCCCCTCTAGGTTCTATTTTTATTTTATTTTATTTTTTTTGGTATTTTTTGTGATGGAGTCTCGCTCTGTCGCCCAGGCTGGAGTGCAGTGGCGCGATCTTGGCTCACTGCAAGCTCCGCTTCCCAGGTTCCCGCCATTCTCCTGCCTCAGCCTTCCGAGTAGCTGGGACTACAGACGCCCACCATGCCTGGCTAATTTTTTGTATTTTTGGAAGAGACGGGGTTTCACCATGTTAGTCAGGATAGTCTTGATCTCCTGACCTCGTGATCTGCCCCCCTTGGCCTCCCAAAGTGCTGGGATTACAGGCGTGAGCCACCGCGCCCGGCCTCTAGGTTCTATTATTATCACCTTTTTAGACATAAGGAAATAAGTTGAGAGAGATTAAGTCACAATTTAAGGTCATACCCCCAAGATTGGAATCTAAAAGCCGTGCTTTTGTACTTCACTGTTTCTGAGACAATGTATTTATTTTAAAGCACATGGAGGGATGGGAAGAAGCTAAACTTTTTTGCATAAACTTGTTTTTTATAAAATATACTTCAGAACATGTTAATATTTTACATGACTATGAAATGTTTTACAAGAATAATTTCTAAGAAATTAAAAGTAAAATGAAATAAATGAGGCTAATGTTACTGAGTTGGTTGCGTGACATACCATCATCATTACTCATCTGCTTTAATCCCGTTATAAACACACAGCAGCTCAAATAACAACACACTGCTGCAAACAATATGATTACTGAAACCAGTTGTCTTTCCTTCTCTTTATTTGTTGTTGTTTTTAGACTTTATTTTGGCCTTAGGCTAAATCCCATGGGGCTGTATAGGAATATGAATGTATTTTAAAGTTACATGAAATAATTCCTCTCTCTCGTTACTAATGTGAAACCATTAAATCTGAAGAGGTAATGATATTTATGGAATCAATTTCTGGTATATTGGTAGTCTGCATGGTTCTGTATGTGTATGTAGGCTGTCGAGTATGAGGCTGAGCACCTCTTCTGATGATTAACCAAATGTCATTTAAGCACCCCTTTGTTCTTTCTTTTTTTTTTTTCTTGAGAGGTCACTATAGTTGGAAGAGACTTTCGAGATCATCTGTCCCAGTCTCTGAATAGATAAGAATCCAAGGCGGCCAGATGACTTAAATACCGACAATCCCAAAAGCTCCTAACAGAGGGAAGAAAGTAATCCCATTCCTGATTTAGAGATCTTTTTACTACAGTTTCTACTACGCAGCTTGCTTTTGAGGAAACGTGTAGATATCTGCATGATATGGCTGATTTTTATTCCTACTATGATTAGGTTTCTTGAGTATGATATAACATTTGAGTGGTTTTGCTAGGGATACGCCATTCTCTGAATAAGAGAATGTTTTTTTACATTGTCATAAATATTGTGTTTGTGTACATTCTCACTGATTTGATAGGATAGTTGTGGGGATTTTTTTGTTTGTTAGCTTTAAATACAGAATCTTTATTTTGAGCATATGATTGAGCCAGAAGGAGCCTTTGAGATTATTTTACAGATGAGAAAACTGAAACTCAGAGGTTGATGGTACTACAGCCAGTAGAGGCTGTGGTAGGTTAGATATGAATGTTTGTGAATTCAGAATACCTTAAAAGTGTGTGTACAAAGAGAAAGTCCTTGATATGAACTTTTTTCTGTTGTTGTTGTTCGTTATTGTTTTTTCTTTTCTTTTTTTTTTTTTTTTTGAGACAGAGTCTCGCTCTGTCGCCCAGGCTGGAGTGCAGTGGCGGATCTCAGCTCACTACAAGCTCCGCCTCCTGGGTTCCCGCCATTCTCCTGCCTCAGCTTCCCGAGTAGCTGGGACTACAGGCGCCCGCCACCTCGCCTGGCTAGTTTTTTGTATTTTTTAGTAGAGACGGGGTTTCACCGTGTTAGCCAGGATGGTCTCGATCTCCTGACCTCGTGATCCGCCCGTCTCGGCCTCCCAAAGTGCTGGGATTACAGGCTTGAGCCACCGCGCCCGGCCTATTGTTTTTTCTTGAGACAAAGTCTCGCTGTGTCACCCAGGCTGGAGTGCAGTGGCACAATCACAGCTCACTGCAGCCTTGACCTCCCAGGCGCAAGCGATCCTCCCCCTTCAGCTTCCTGAGTAGCTGTACCTGGGATTACAGGCATGTGCCACCGCACTCGGCTAATTTTTGTTTGTTTGTCTTTGAGACCATTTTGCTCTGTTGCCCAGTCTGGAGTACAGTGACACAGTCTTGGCTGACTGCAGCCTCACCGCCCAGGCTCAAGCTTTTCTCCCACCTCAGCTTCCCAAGAGCTGTAGCTGGTATTATAGGCACCCACCATCGTGCTTGACTAATTTTTTAAAAGAATATTGTTAAGATGAGATCTCACTATATTGCCCAGGCTGGTCTTGGACTCCTGGGCTCCAGTGATCCTCCTGCCTCGGACTCCCAAAGTGCTGAGATTACAGTTGTGTGTCACTGCACCTGGCCTTTTTTTAAGTTTTACTTTTTTGTAGAGACACTGTCTCACTGTGTTGCCACGGTTGATTTCGAACTCCCGGTCTCAAATGATCCTCCTGTCTCAGACTCCCAAAGTGCTAGGATTACAGTCATGGTCCACTATGTCTGGCCTGTTGTTCTCTGTATAAAAGCTGTGTGAAAAAAATTCTGCTTTCATAACTGTGCTGTCAGTTGGATTTTAAATAATGAAGATTTTGCCATATTTAATTAAATGTCTATTTTTGGCACTTTCTTGAATGTGTATGATTTATTTCCCTTTTTGTTCCAAACTCTAAGAATTCTGTAGACCATACTTCAGTATAGAAATCATTTTGGCTACTTTTGCCCATGGTTCTTTGTGACAAGCTCCTTCTGAAGGTTTTATTAGCACTCCCAGAGATTTTTTTGTTGTACAATTTTTTATTTTTTGACACTGAAACTCTCTAGCCTGACATGGCTCAGGTGTCTTAGGTTATGTGTACATATTTTGTGATGAATTGAAAAGTTATGTGCTGTTTTAATTTTTGTACTTCACTGTTGAACTGACTCAGAAAACTTTAGTTGCAGGCATCTTCCTAATGAAAAGTGAAGTGAATGAAAATACCCTGTGAGAGAAGTTACTGGGATTTTTACTTCCCTAGAGTAATAGAAGATTTGAGCTGTGTTAAGTAATACGTTAAAAAGATATATACATTGTTATATAGGAAGCATTTATTGTTTTCTTAGAGTATAGCATAGATTTAAAACAAAGTTAGGCATTTATCAGTTTAGAAGAAACCTGTGAATAATTAGTATATATTTCCTGCTTCCTAGGGCAATATAGAAATTAAATGAAATAGGCTATATGGCCACATTAAAGTGTGTTGAACATCCAGTAGGAGTATTTAAATATGAGTACATTGAAATAAATCGTTTCATTTTTAAAACTGCAATTGCTGTAGAAAATTTTTGAGCTGTCAGTTCTTTTTTGTTTGTTTTTTTGAGACAGGATCTTGCTCTGTTGCCCAGGCTGGAGTGCAGTGGTGGATCACGGCTCACTGCAGCCTTGACGTCCTGGGCTCAAGCAATACTCCTACCTCAGCCTCCAGAGTAGCTGGTACCACAGGTGTGTGCCACCATGCCCAGCTGTTTTTTGTTTTGTTTTGTTTTGTTTTTTGTTTTTGTTTGTGTTTTGAGTCGGAGTTTCGCTCTTGTTGTCCAGGCTGGAGTGCAATGGCACGATCTCCGCTCACTGCAACCTTCCGGGTTCCAGTGATTCTCCTGCCTCAGCCTTCCAAGTAGCTGGGATTACAGGCATGCGCCACCAAACCTGGCAAATTTTGTGTTTTTAGTAGAGACAGGGTTTTGCCATGTTGGTCAAGCTGGTCTCGAACTCCTGACCTCAGGTGATCTGCCTGCCTTGGCCTCCCAAAGTTCTGGGATTACAGGTGTGAACCACCGCGCCTGGCCCAGCTGGTTATTTTTACTTGTAGAGATGATGTCTCTCGATGTTGCCCAGAGATATCAGTTCTTTATGACAATTATATGGACCTACTTTTGAATCTAAGCTCTGAGATTACTTATTTTGATTCTGTTTTTTCTTCATTATTAACAAAAGAGATTTCGGCCGGGCATGGTGGTTCACGTCTGTAATCCCAGCACTTTGGGAGGCTGAGGTGGGCAGATCACGAGGTCAGGAGATCAAGACCATCCTGGCTAACACGGTGAAACACTGTCTATACTAAAAAAGTACAAAAAAAAAAAAAAATTAGCCAGGTGTGGTGGCAGGCGCCTGTAGTCCCAGCTACTCAGGAGGCTGAGGCAGGGGAATGGCATGAACCCAGGAGGTGGAACCTGCAGTGAGCTGAGATCCAGCCACAGCACTCCAGCCTGGGCGACAGAGCGAGACTCTGTCTCAACAACAACAACAAAAAAAAGATTTCTAGTGTGTAATTTTTGAAACAACTTATTAAGGTAAGATTTATGTATAATAAACTGCTCTGTTTCAAAGTCAAAAATTTGAGGGGTTTTTTCAGATACGTAAACCTGTGAAACTACTATGAAGGTCAAGATACAAAACATTTCCAATACCCCCAAAAGTTGCCTCATGGCGTCTTATTATCATTTTCGGCTTCCAGCCTCAGATAACCATTGATGCATCGTGTTTTCAATGGTTTTTTGGTTTTTTTTTAAATCCTTTTAGAGTAGTTTGCATTTCGCGGAATGTT